TACTTGTGTAATATCCATTCCAATAGTGTTCATAATGAAACATTTTTAAGGGCATAAAATCCCCATAGTATGGATTGAGTTTTATATTTCTAAATGTTAATTCTTCCTTATGTTCTTTCAAATATTTGCTAAGTGTACTGTATTTGAATGTGTATCTATCAGTAACTTATTTTATATTTTAAGTGAGCTTATCGATGAAATCAAACGTTATCCCAGCCTCTTAATAAGCAAAGTCATCCCCAAAAGTCATAAGAATATTTTATGTTTTAAAACCCTAAGCGAAATCCTCGATACATTTAATAATTTTCATATTTCCCTCAATCATTAAGTTACTTTCTATAAATCCTTCATAGTTGTTAAAGCTTGAAATTGTTTAAGTACTGCTAATCGGAATTTTACATGGAGATACATAAATATCACGTGTGAGATGAGTATATATTCCATCTTGAGATCTGTATTCTTAATCAATTCCTTCAAACTCAGGATTCCATATAAAAGCCATATCCTTAGTAGTAAGCATGCTTTATTTATACTCATCAGTCATTCTGCCAAAGAAAAGTGCTTCAAATCCAAGTTCTTTAAAGAATTTCGCTGTTTGGGAAGAATGCCCAAAAGCATCGGCTTGCCAAGCCATTTTTGGTATTACACCAAAAGTTGAATTCAAGAAGTCGTGACCTTTTTTTATATTTTCTAACAAATCAAAGTAGAGAGGGCATGCTTCATCGCTAGCAACCCATCCGCCGTTAACGAATTCAAGTTTACCTTCCTTGATATAATTCTAAACATCTTGCTAGGTTTAATTGTTTTAGGTTTTCCACCATTGTTCAAAGAAGTACATTTCTGCATAAATGAAAGTCCTGTTCTCTTTTTCCTTTAAATGTTGCATTACACTACTAAGAATAGGAGCAACACTGTTTTGATAATACTCCTATGGAGTTTTTAGCCAGCCTGGATCTTAGTGACTGTGAGGGATCATATGTATTGTAAGTTTCTCAAATGGTTCATTATTTTCAAATTTTTAAGGTATAGCTTAAGTCGATTGATTATTTGAAATATCGTTTTAAATTTGCTAAGAGAGTTAAGAGACAAGAGGTTGTTAAAATTTTATTCTCAAGTAGTCATTATCTTAATGAGTAAGATTAGAGCTTTGTTGATGCTGATTCAAAAATATTTTTACTGCAAGAATTTATTCAACGAGTATCAGCAGTATCAAGATATTCATGTAATAATTTTGAAGAAAATTATATTGTTTATACATAGTGAGCAATTATATTTGATTTATAATTTGAATTTATTTTGAATTAATTTAAATTATTTTTAACAAAAAAATATGGCAACAACTAAGCCTCAGGGGTTTTGGGGTTTTGGGG